GGTGAGCTATGGTAATTGTAAATACAACTAGGTGGTGATAGACGGTCATCTACAAACATGCAGTAGGGGTTTCAGGGGTCATCTGGGCATCTGAGGCATATAGTGCTAAAACTATGCATATAGTAAAAAAAAAAAAAAGTAAAAAAAAACAAGTTATAATAAAAGAGCCAGTATCGTATCACAGTGTTGGGTGCCGGTTATAAGGGAGAGTTTCAGTTGTAGTAAAAATGAAAACTTATAGAAATTGGTGGGTATCGTATCTTAGTGTTAGATGCCAGCCTCTCAATGAGGGTTCAAGCTGTAGTTCAAATGAAAACCTACGGAAAAGAGCGGATGTCGTGTCATTATATTAGGTGCCAGCCTCTCAGAGAGGGTTTAAATTGCAGTAAAATTTAAAACCTCTGGAAAAGGACAGGTGCCGTATTCTAGTGTTAAGTGCCGGCCGCTCAGATATGGTTTAAGTTGTTGTCTGAATTAAAACTTATGACAAAAGAACTTGTGTTGTCTCATAGTGTTAGGTGCCGGCCGTTTAGGGAGGGTTTACAATGTTACATGCGGGTGTTGAGTGAGAGGGTCAAGTCGTCGTGTCGATTAGTAAAAGGAGCGGTTTATAGGCCAGGGTACACCATACGTCGCACAATGTACCTCGCAACCTGGTCACTTGTCTTTGTAAGTAGTTCACCGAAATTCCTTGGTAAATCTTTTAGTGTGCTTCTCTAGTTGGTCACTGGTTTTCGTAAGTCGTTTACTAAAGTTTCCTACTAAGTCAGCCACTATCCTCGAGACACGTTAATGCGGGTTATATCTTTTATAAGGCGTTCACTGTCTTGGTACACATTAAATCTCTCAATGTCTCTCTAGTCTAGAACACCCTAAATCTCTCAAGACATTTATAAAGGTGCTCGCTGATCTTGTAAGACATTTACTGAAGTTCTTTGGTAAGGTCGGCCACTATTTCTGGGACACCTTAGGTAGTTCAATATCTTTCTCCTTTTGGACATCTTGAGTCGCTCCATATCACACATAAACTTTCACTTGCTTTCCTTACTAAGTCTTCCCCGATATTTCTTGATGAGGTGGTTACTGTCCTTAGGACATTTGAGATTACTTGATGTCTTTCTCTACTAGGACACAACTCGATATCTTTCTCTTTTGTAACATATTAGGTCATTCGTTCACTGATGTTTTTGATGAGTCATTAATTAGCAATGGTACTAATAAAGTCATGATACTCCCACAACAGTCTAAAACATGATACACCAATGGCAGTTTAAAACATGACACTCACACGGCAGTCTTAAACATAACACTACAAAGGCACAATCTAAGACATGACACTCCAATGCCAAACTAAAATATGACTACCCAATTCCAGCATCTAAAACATGACACGCCAAAGGCAAAATCTAAAACAAGATACTCCAACGGCAGAATTTGAAACTTTAAACTCCAAATGATAAAATCTAAAACATGACACTCCTACGACTGCAGAGTCTATAACATGATACTCCAACGGCAGAGTCTAAAACATGACACTAAAAGCACTAAAAGGCAGAAACTAAAGCATGACTACACAACGGCAAAATCTACAACATGACTACCCAATGGTATATTCTGACTGATTGATTAATTTGATTTGATTCAAGAACCGACATCACAGCACTCGGGGCATTTCCATAAGCGTTCCGTCCACATCTTCAGCAGCCAGCGAAAAGTTTTGATACTAATGGTGCCAGTAGCATTCTTATTAAACGTCCGTCTTGCCTTTCTTCTGAGCCTCGAGCATTTGCCAGAACCTCTTGTTACTCCCCCCCCCCCCTGCATCGATCTTATCAGACTGTGGTGATCCAACTGCTCCTCCGCTGTACATGCTCTCTCACAAGGCATTAACCACGTCTGCCTTATCATGTATCAGTATTCCACCAAGTTGTGCAGAACCAGCCAGTCTGTCCGTCTGTTCATTTCCCAACACACCGGCATTGCCTCGTTAAAAAAAAAAACCCAGATAATACTCCTCACCAGTGTCCTCCGCAGCGAAGCATGCCTGTCCTGATCTTCCTCGGCATGCTTTCTGAGTCAGTTACAAACACGATGTATGTCGATGTGTGTCGTGTTCTCTAGCCAGCGAAAAGCTGCAGTGACCGCCTCCACCTCCATTCTTAAGCTATATGGTCGAATTTAATGCATAACACTCTGATGGCTAAATCTCAAACATCACACTCCAAAGGCAAATCTAAAACATAACAGCCCAACAGCAGAATCTAAAACATGAAACTCCAACTGCAGAATCTAAAACACGAAACTCCAACTGCAGAATCTAAAACATGGAACTTCAACGGCAGAATCTAAAACATGAAACTCCAAATGTAGAATCTAAAACATGAAACTCCAACGGCAGAAACCGAAGCATTACACCCCAACAGCAGAATCTAAAACATGACTATCCAACGGCAGAATTTAAAACATGACTATCCAAAGGCAGAAACTAAAATATGATACCCAACAGCAGAATCTAAAACATGAAACTCCAGTGGCAGAATCTCAAACATGAAACTCCAACGGCAGAATCTTAAACATGACACCAGCTTTCGGGATAAGATGCTGGTTATGAACTCGATGCTCCAGTCATATCAGAAATGTACATGTCCCTTTTTTCTGTTCCATGAATCCCTTAGACCTCAAATGTTACTTTCACTTATTACGTTTTTTAGCCTGTATTTTTTAAACCCATAAACAACCAAAGGGAATTGCTGTAAAGTAGATAATCTTCGTGATAGAAAGGTTGAGTAATAACTCGTAGGGACGGAAAGAGTCCTCGTATGAGAACATTAGTCCTGGTGTCCATTCCCAAGTGCCGCCGCTATCATTCTGAGAACCACTGCAAACTTTCATGGTCTGCTAAAACAAAAAAATCAGCTGTTGAGCACTAATCTCATAAAGTGACGCGACTCTTGTCGTTTATAACTTTCCCCTCAAGAGTGAGGCTCAACACAATCCATTTATTATCGTTGATAAACGTTTACGACACTAGAGTCGCGATTATAAACCCTGAGATTGACAGATAAATTAAGGTCCATATGTATGTATCTACCACTGCCACACAAAACAACCTGGTACCATCTGTCAATATTGTAAACGCGTCTAAGGCGCGCATGTCAAGATGTACCAAAAGCCTGGGTTTGTGGGAAATATTTCTTATAAAAGTGCTTTGTGAAACATCATGGCGGTGTGGATGTTCTTGCCACAGACCTATGCTCTGATGAACAGACTGATATATTTGTTTTTCAAGGGCATTATTCTTGTATGACATACACAAGTTCTGTACAGCACGACTATCTAGCTAGTGTTTGCCTCTCACGAGACAAAAGTACTATCTTGTGTTGACATCTAGACCTGTGTTTTCGCTATGAATAGTCACAGCTGTTTCATACTACACGTCATGTTGGGAAAAAGACCACGCCGCAAACAGAAGATAAATATGAATAAATACAAAGCAAAAGACAGAGATGGAATTGTAAGCTTGTAGAATTAATACTGGGTCATAGAATTTATCATTTGTGTTACTGTAAACATTTAAACAAATTATATTGATTCCGACATCCCAATGTTTAGACGTTTGTCTGAAAACCTTCAGCTCGAGTCCGCAGAGGGATGATTTCTGTATACATGACCTAAGCTGACTCAGCCTTAACCGTGTACCTGGAAAATGTCTTTGGAGGTAAAGGTGGCAGCATGGTGTTAACTACATCAGCCGTCGGTTGTCTGCTAACACAAATGTCTATCACTGCATGTCCATTGGGATGAAACTTGATGTCTGTTACTTATTGATTTTTTTTTTTTTAAAGCGACGAAACACAAGTAAATATATACCACATACTTGGTACAGAAAAAAACGGCACGCATAGAAAGAAGTAGAAAGTTAGAAGCGGACATGTCAAGTCAAAACGAAAGCTGTAGTGGTGCCGATACTTGAACCTGTCAATAAAGACGGCGTCTGCGCCTATGAATACAAGTTAAGTGCGGACAGGCACCCCCAAAAAAAGCTGTGTGGTGCAGATGTCTATCTTGGCTCAATCCACGACTGAGGTAGGAATACGGACATGTCTATTCATTTCAACCCATGCTATGGTGCAGATACTTGGTCAATAAACGCTGAGGTAGGTTTGTGCGGACATGTCTAGTCAACACTGCTGTGTGGTGCAGATACTTGGTCAATAAACGCTGAGGTAGGTTTGTGCGGACACGTCTCGTCAACACTGCTGTGTGGTGCAGATACTTGGTCAATAAACGCTGAGGTAGGTTTGTGCGGACATGTCTAGTCAACACTGCTGTATGGCGCACATACCTGGTCAATAAACGCTGAGGTAGGTTTGTGCGGACATGTCTCGTCAACACTGCTGTATGGCGCAGATACCTAGGCAATAGACACGCAGCTAGAACTTCGAACCGAGTCTCTAGAGATGTTGGTATATCCGGTCAATACGTCTGTTTGGCGCAGATGTCTGGGCAATAGACAAGCAACTCGAATGTGGAGGCAAATCTTGACGATTTATTGATTGATTGACTGATTGATTAGAGTAAACATGCAACTAGCTTGAAAATATGACGGTAGAACGTGTGCTGAGTGCTAAGTTAGCAATCGCTGCTGAAGCACAACTTGTCCGTTTGCTGGTCCAACGATCACTCACGCACATGAAAGTCACACATCTTTGACAAGCGCTCACTTGAACCCTTGTTTATTGTCTTTGGATGGCATTCATTGCCTTGAACTCCCGACCAGGGCACAACTGCCTTAACTAACAATCAACAGCAGTTCTCAAATATTGTTTAGCATCTGGCCCCTATAGCCAAACTAGCAGTAATATGTTTATTGTCCTTGGATGGCATTCATTGCCTTGAACTCCCGACCAGGGCACAACTGCCTTAACTAAAAATCAACAGCAGTTCTCAAATATTGTTTAGCATCTGGCCCCTATAGCCAAACTAGCAGTAATATGTTCTCATTGTAAATTGTAACATCGAGGACGGTGGTTAAATACAACAGAAATTATGATGTTTTCGCTTAAACTGTTGCTAAATACAACAGAAATTCTGATGTCATCACTTAAACTGTTGCTAAATACAACAGAAATTCTGATGTCATCACTTAAACTGTTGCTAAATAAAACAGAAATTCTGATGTCATCACTTAAACTGTTGCTAAATACAACAGAAATTCTGATGTCATCACTTAAACTGTTGCTAAATATAACACAAACTATGATGTCATAACTTTAGCTGTGGCTGAATACTACAGAGTTTTGTCATCACTTTAGCTATGGCTAAATACAACATAAACTCTCAAGTCGTCAATTTAAGTGTGGCTAAAAACAAAACAAATTCTGATGTCGTCACTTTAGCTGTGGCTAAATACAATTAAACTCCCAGAAAATCGCCTTGCTCTGTCCTTTTTGTCCGATCCACAGTTCAACCCCGGATCAGTCGAATCTACGTGAATCCTAAAGTGTTCACGTTTCCGTCATAATGCCCTAGTCGGGAACTTTCGTGGGCTGTTGAACGCGTAGTCGCTAAGCGGTCATCTAAGTGCTAGTCCGTCATTCTTTATCATCACATACAGTTGTCCCGTAGCCACACAGGCTCTTGACACATATCTTTGATTCATAATATACCGAGTGTCACTTGGTCTGGTCTGGTAGTCTTAGTTTCAGCTTCATAGCAAACGGGTCGCCCATCTTTGCTCCGCTCCTGTGCCAACGAAAAACACTCAGAATGTTTATCACAGTCCCTTGTGGAAAGATTGACAGACTGCTGTCTGAGCATATCTAGCATACACTCGCATTAAATCATACGGTAGCCATCCGAAGGGCTAGCACAAACAGTCCAACATTAGAAATGCAGTTCATCATTGATGATAGCAGAACTTGTCGCCATCAGATCAGCAGTTGCTCACGCGATCAATTGTAATCACATACGGGCACCGCAACATTGCACGACCGGCATCACGCCATTTTCTGAATCTACAATTGACACCAACACGTTGGTCACAGTCGAAAAAACATTCCAAATGCAATCCGCAGCTCACAGGGTCACGCCATGCATTCAACTCAGAATCTGGGCGACGAAACAGATATCCAGTCTACAAATGGAGCAAAAATACTTCGGCCACCGTCCGGCAGAAGCAAAAAAAAATTTGCCTCTGCTTCGAACAGCGCCGCTGACTAGCGTCCATTTTAACCGACTGTCACTATCATCCGACTTTCACAAATGGAAATGTTCCGAGGCTGTGTCGACACTGAATAAGAAAAGGACATGTAAGACTTACATATTATCGGCTTACACCATTAAACTGGAAAGTCTATGATGGCTACTGAATACAGGGATGGTTTGTTCATGGAAATGAATCCAGTTCTGTGGTATCAACTTTTAACCTTTGATCTTTTAGGGGCCAGCTCGGGAATAGGAGCGGCAACTGCCTTGCTGTTTGCTGGACTGGGGGCCAGACTGGCGCTGACCGGCCGCAACCAGGACAACTTGAGGAAAGTCGGCGAGCAGTGCCAGAGCAAGAGCGGATTAAAGGTAATCGGAGACTGAGGTCTGTCTATCTACTTGCACACATACCTGCCTACATGTCTGTTGACCTGTGCACATAACTGCCTACCTCTCTGTCTACCTGCACACATACCTGCCTACCTCTCTGTCTACATGCACACATATCTGCCTCCCTCTCTGTCTACTTGCCTACCTGTCTGTCTACCTGCACACACATCTGCCGTCCTCTCTCTCAACCGCACACATACCTGCCTACCTCTCTGTCTACCTGCACACATACCTGCCTACCTCTCTGTCTACCTACACACATACCTGCCTACCTCTTTGTCTACATGCACACATATCTGCCTTCCTCTCTGTCTACTTGCCTACCTCTCTGTCTACCTGCACACATACCTGCCTACCTCTCTGTCTACCTGCACACATATCTGCCTTCCTCTCTGTCTACTTGCCTACCTGTCTGTCTACCTGCACACAAATCTGCCTTTCTCTCTGTCTACTTGTCTACCTGTCTGTCTACCTGCACACATATCTGCCTTCCTCTCTGTTTACTTGCCTACCTGTCTGTCTACCTGCACACATATCTGCCTTCCTCTCTGTCTACTTGTCTACCTGTCTGTCTACCTGCACACATATCTGCCTTCCTCTCTGTCTACTTGCCTACCTGTCTGTCTACCTGCACACATATCTGCCTTCCTCTCAGTCTACTTGCCTACCTCTCTGTCTACCTGCACACATATCTGCCTTCCTTTCTGTCTAGTTGCCTACCTCTCTGTCTACCTGCACACATATCTGCCTTTCTCTCTGTCTACTTGCACACATATCTGCCTTTCTCTCTGTCTACCTGCACACATATCTGCCTACCTCTCTGTCTACCTGCACACATATCTGCCTTCCTCTCTGTCTACTTGCCTACCTCTCTGTCTACCTGCACACATATCTGCCTTTCTCTCTGTCTACCTGCACACATATCTGTCTACCTGCACACATATCTGCCTTTCTCTCTGTCTACCTGCACACATATCTGCCTACCACTCTGTCTACCTGCACACATATCTGCCTACCTCTCTGTCTACCTGCACACATATCTGCCTACCTCTCTGTCTACCTGCACACATATCTGCCTTCCTCTCTGTCTACTTGCCTACCTCTCTGTCTACCTGCACACATATCTGCCTTCCTCTCTGTCTACTTGCCTACCTCTCTGTCTACCTGCACACATATCTGCCCTTTTCTCTGTCTACCTGCACACATATCTGCCTACCTCTCTGTCTACCTGCACACATATCCGCCTACCTCTCTGTCTACCTGCACACATATCTGCCTACCTCTCTGTCTACCTGCACAATACCTGCCTACCTCTCTGTCTACCTGCACACATATCTGCCTTCCTCTCTGTCTACTTGCCTAAATGTCTGTCTACGGGTACACATACCTGCCCACTTCTCTGTCTACCTACACGCATAGTTGTCAACCTGTCTGTCTACCTGCACACATATTTGAACACCTGCACACATACCTGTATACCTATCTACCGGAACATATACCTGCCAACTTGTCTTTTTCCCTTTTGTCTTTCCAGAAGAAAAAAAAACTTTTCACTGAATACTGAAGTAAAGAAAAACCTAATAAGTTAAAAACAAAATGATGGCAAAACTGGAGACAGCTGATATGCAGTGTTTTTTTTAAATATATTTTTAATTATTATTTGGGTGGGAGTGGGGGTAAACGGGGAGGGGGTGGGGGTAAGGGGGTTTTCTAGGTGTCTGGCAAACAGAAAAAGACAGATGACACGATGTGGACACCTGCACGTGTTGCTGGATCACGCCTGACAGCCGCACAGAGGAGACATTTATGAGGACATTTAAGTGAGTTACAGATTCGCTGCAGCCAGCTTCAAATTTGGAGACTTGACTTGACTGAGTGATTGGTTGATTGACTCATAGATTCATTGATCAACATATAGTAGAGTGCAGGGCTGCCGAAAAGGTTTAGGGAATAGTAGCGAATGTTTCGTTTTTTTGTTTATTTTTTTGAAAACTGAACCAAAACATACCAGAAGGTACCAAAACAAACAGGAGAGTAGCACAACATACCAGAGGGTACCAAAACACACCAGAGGGTACCAAAACACACCAGAGGGTACCAAAACATAACAGAGGGTACCAAAACACACACCAGAGGGTACCAAAACATAACAGAGGGTACCAATACATACCAGAGGGTGCCAAAGCATACCAGTGGGTACCAGTTTATAACAGAGGGTACCAAAACATACTAGAGGCTACCATTACATACTAGATGGTATCAGAACATACCAGAGGGTAGAAAAACCACACCAGAGGGTAGCAAAACATAATAGAATTTACCAAAACATACCAGAGTGTACCAAAACATGCCAGATTGTATCAAAACATACCAGAGGGCACCAAAACATAATAGAGGGCACCAAAACATACCAGAGAGCACCAAAACATACCAGAAAGTACCACAACACACCAAAGGGTACCAAAGCATACCAGCGGTCATCAAAACATACCAGAGGGTACTAAAGAATTCCAGAGAAATTTGACTTAAAAGCTCAACAAAATGGGCAAGCAGATAAACGTGAACAAAACAACACAACGTAACGTTTCGGCCCAATAGCCTTTTTTTAAACACAAGTGAACTACACAAACATAACAACAAGTAGAGGAGAGTATGTAGATCTCTAAGGGGTGACGTGAGCAATGTTTAAAAAATGTGATGTGGAATAAATGAAATAAAATAAAATAAACGATGGCTAAAAAATATATAGCCACACAAAAAAAATAATAAACAGTACTATTGTTAATATATAATATAATACTGGGAATAAAAGAAATGCAAATGTTAATGATACATAAATGATACTGATTAGAAATAGAATAAAGTAATAATATGAAATAAAAGAAAATAAAAGAAAATAATTAACATGTAAAATGTGATAAGAGTAGAACTATTTAGATGAAGGTATGTTGGATATTGATACCACCTGGACTGAGAACGCCTAAGCTGTGGATGAGGCGATTTTCCAAAGCGAGGCGGGTAGTATGATCGCCAGAACAAGATTTTAATGCTGTGACAGAAACATCATCTTTACCATAGGTTATTGAAACATACCATAGGTTACCAAAACATACCATAGGTTACCAAAACATACCATAAGTTACCAAAACATACCATAGGTTACCAAACATACCATAGGTTACCAAAAGATACCATAGGTTACTAAAACATACCATAGGTTACCAAAACATACCACAGGTTACCAAAACATACCACAGGTTACCAAAACATACCATAGGTTACCAAAACATACCATAGGTTACCAAAACATACCATAGGTTACCAAAACATACCATAGGTTACCAAAACATACCATAGGTTACCAAAACATACCATAGGTTACCAAAACATACCATAGGTTATCAAAACAAACTATAGGTTACCAAACATACCATAGGTTACCAAAAGATACCATAGGTTACTAAAACATACCATAGGTTACCAAAACATACCATAGGTTACCAAAACACACAATAGGTTACCAAAACATACTATAGATTACCAAAACATACCACAGGTTACCAAAACATACCATAGGTTACCAAAACATACCATAAGTTATCAAAACAAACTATAGGTTACCAAACATACCATAGGTTACCAAAAGATACCATAGGTTACTAAAACATACCATAGGTTACCAAAACATACCATAGGTTACCAAAACATACAATAGGTTACCAAAACATACCATAGGTTACCAAAACATACCATAGGTTACCAAAACATATCACAGGTTACCAAAACACACCATAGGTTACCAAAACATACCATAGGTTACCAATACATACCCTAGGGTACCAATACATACCAGAGGGCAACAAAATACACCCGAGGGTAGCAAAACTGACCAGAGGGAACCAAAACATACCAGCGGGTACCAATACATACCAGCGTGTACCAAAATATACCAGCAGGTACCAAAACATACTAGAGAGTACCAAAACACACCAAGGGTATAGCATTTCAACATCTTTAAACACAGACGCACGTATGCACACTTACTTACTAACACATAAGTAACTTATCTTACACTTGATGAGTAGAGGCGGATAGCTAGATGTACATAGAGGTGGATAGCAAGATGTGCATAGATGCGGATAGCTAAATGTGCATTTGATAAGTAGAGGCGGATAGCTAGATGTACATAGATGTGGATAGCTAGATGTGCATAAAGGTGGATAGCAAGATGTACATAGATACGGATAACTAGATGTACATAGATGTGGATAGTTAGAAGTACATAAAGGCGGATAGCAAGATGTACATAGAGGCAGATAGCTAGATGTACTTAGAGGCAGATAGCTAGATGTACATAGAGGTGGATAGCAAGATATACATAGAGGTGGATAGCTAGATGTACATAGAGGTGGATAGCAAGATGTACATAAATGCGGATAGCTATATGTGCATAAAGGCAGATAGCTAGATGCACATAGAGGCAGATAGCAAGATGTACATAGAGGCAGATAGCAAGATGTACATAGAGGCAGATAGCTAGATGTACATAGAGGTGGATAGCTAGATGTACATAGAGGCGGATAGCTAGATGTAAATAGAGGCAGATAGCTAGATGTAAATAGATTCGGATAGCTAGATGTACATAGAGGCAGATAGCAAGATGTAAATAGATTCGGATAGCTAGATGTGCATAGAGGAAGATAGCGAGATGTAAATAGATTCGGATAGCTAGATGTACATAGAGGCGGATAGCTAGATGTACATAGAGGCGGATAGCTAGATGTACATAGAGGCGGATAGCTAGATGTACATAGAGGCAGATAGTTAGATGTACATAGAGGCGGATAGCTAGATGTGCATAGATGCGGATAGCTAGATGTACATAGAGGCGGATAGCTAGATGTACATAGAGGCGGATAGCTAGATGTACATAGAGGCGGATAGCTAGATGTACATAGAGGCAGATAGTTAGATGTACATAGAGGCGGATAGCTAGATGTGCATAGATGCGGATAGCTAGATGTGCATAGAGGCAGATAGCAAGATGTACATAGAGGCGGATAGCTAGATGTGCATAGAGGCAGATAGCAAGATGTACATAGAGGCGGATAGCTAGATGTGCATAGAGGCAGATAGCAAGATGTACATAGATTCGGATAGCTAGATGTACATAGAGGCGGATAGCTAGATGTACATAGAGGCGGATAGCAAGATGTACATAAAGGCGGATAGCAATATGTACATAGAGGCGGATAGCAAGATGTACATAGAGGCGGATAGCAAGATGTACATAGGGGCGGATAGCTAGATGTACAAAGAGGCGGATAGCTAGATGTAAATAGACGCAGATAGCTAGGTGTACATAGAGGCAGATAGTAAGATGTACGAAGAGGCGGATAGCTAGATGTACATAGAGGTGGATAGCTAGATGTACATAGAGGCGGATAGCTAGATGTACATAGAGGCAGATAGCTAGATGTACATAGAGGCAGATAGCTAGATGTACATAGAGGCGGATAGCTAGATGTACATAGAGGCGGATAGCTAGATGTACATAGAGGTGGATAGCTAGATGTACATAGAGGCGGATAGCTAGATGTACATAGAGGCAGATAGTTAGATGTACATAGAGGCGGATAGCTAGATGTACATAGAGGCGGATAGATAGCTGCACATACAGTTAATAAAGTATCTAGAGATAAAGAACACAACGCGACCTCAAGAGTATATAACCATAGAGCGAAAACAGCGACCATTTAGAATATCGTTGATGTTATTTGTGACATTACCGAAGTATCACAATAAAGACAGTATAGAAGAGTTGTTTCAAGACATATTTTTATGCAAGAATCAGAGTGACGTAAGAAGCATGCAACTAGCAAGATATCATAATTATCACCAATATCGACAGGACCATCTTTCTCCTCCTCTATATTCTTCAACTGACTCCTGTAGCCAACAAAAGATGAACCTGGGTGTGACGGCAACATACACATAGAAGACAGCTGTGCTACAGTTATGTTCTAATCATTGTCATAATCCAGCTTTTATGTTATAATCATTGTCGTAATCCAGCTTTTATATTATAATCATTGTCATAACCCAGCCGTGTTATGTTGTAATAATTGTCATAATCTATCTGCTATGTTCTAATCATTGTCACTATCCATCTGTTATGTTCTAATCATTGTCATAATCCAGCTTTTATGTTATAATCATTGTCGTAATCCAGCTTTTATATTATAATCATTGTCATAACCCAGCCGTGTTATATTATAATAATTGTCACAATCTATCTGCTATGTTCTAATCATTGTCACTATCCATCTGTTATGTTCTAATCATTGTCATAATCCAGCTGTGTTATGTTATAATCACTGCTTTCTTTGCAGCCCGTTCTCATTGCTGGGGACCTTACGAAAGACGAGGACGTGAGACGCGTGGTCCAAGGCGCTGTAGACGGTAATAATGGGCGCCTAGATATTCTTGTGAGTGTTGTAGAATTCCCTATGATCATTACAGTCATCATCATCATCATGTGCTATGTCGGGCAATGGAGATGATTTAAGGTGACCATAACAACTAAAATAAAAAAAAAATAAAAAACGGGAAATACCACTAATATTTTAAGGTGAAAACGAAACACCCAAGCAATTAAATGTCCCCCCCCCCCCCCCCCCCACCACCCCACTTTTCCCCTCTTTTTCCCAGTATCAGTAAAAGTAAAAGTAAAGATCCCTTTTCACGCCTTTCCGCGCATCGGGCATATGGGCAGAGCGTCCCATATTTTTACAGACCATCAGCACTCTGTGGGTAATGTGGTCAGCATTACGCCGGCTGTCTTTACTTTCCCAGGACAGCCCATCCTGGTACCCATTTTAGGCTGGGTCAACCTGCGACGTCCCATACCACGATAAAAATCCACGCAGTCTGCAGTGGGTTTCGATCGCGGTATGCTGGCTTACGAGTCGGACTCGCAACGCCTTAGCCACGGACGCCGCCTTCCCAGTATTATTCTAGAATTTTTTTGTGTTATTAGAATTATTATTATTACTAGCTGTACCCGGCCACGTCTCAATGGGCCACCGAAATAGTTTGTTTCATCATGTAACGAGGCAGGGTGGTTGGATTTTCTCTTCATGTCTGTAGCAGTAACACCTCGAGGACTTCCTATTTGTGTGAAAAGACCTTCTCGTGCATGTGAATAATTAAAACCAAAGGAAGAAATCGAATGGATGTTAATGTAGAGCTTCGTATATCAGAAACAACACTCCGACCATGAATGTCAGACTGTTTAAATATCAAAACAGCAGCAGATGTCACTTCAGCTGAAAACTGTCCTTTTGTGACTAGGGGTTTGACAAATAAACTGCTGTACACGTTAATTTTTTGTTTCTGTTTCTGTACATCATCTCATTATCGTACCATGGAATGAGTAAGAGCTGGTCGAACAGTTAAGAGACACCGAGGTTCAAATTCTCGGTAAGGCCGTTAATTTTTGGTTTTCTGTCGGAGGGCAAAAGTAAGATCCTAATATGAACACGTCCCTTCAACAATGTCAGCTCACGTCCCTTCAACGCTGTCAGCTCACGACCTATCAACGCTGTCAGCTCACGTCCCTTCAACAATATCAGCTCACGTCCCTGCAACGATGTTAGCTCACGTCCCTTCAACGCTGTCAGCTCACGTCCCTTCAACACTGTCAGCTCACGTCCCTTCAACACTGTCAGCTCACGTCCCTTCAACACTGTCAGCTCACGTCCCTTCAACGCTGTCAGCTCACGTCCCTTCAACACTGTCAGCTCACGTCCCATCAACACTGTCAACTCACGTCCCTTCAACAATATCAGCTCACGTCCCTTCAACGATGTCAGCTCACGTCCCTTCAACAATATCAACTCACGTCCCTTCAACAATATCAGCTCACGTCCCTGCAACACTGTCAGCTCACGTCCCATCAACACTGTCAGCTCAAGTCCCTTCAACGATATCAACTCACGTCCCTTCAACAATATCAACTCACGTCCCTTCAACAATATCAACTCACGTCCCTTCAACAATATCAACTCACGTCCCTTCAACAATATCAACTCACGTCCCTTTAACAATATCAACTCACGTCCCTTCAACAATATCAACTCACGTCCCATCAACACTGTCAGCCACGTCCCTTCAACACTGTCAGCTCACGTCCCTGCAACGATTTCAGCTCGCCCCTTCAACGATGTCAGCTCACGTCCCATCAACACTGTCAGCTCACGTCCCTTTAACACTGTCAGCTCACGTCCCTGCAACGATTTCAGCTCGCCCCTTCAACGATGTCAGCTCACGTCCCTTCAACGATGTCAGCTCACGTCACATCAACACTGTCAACTCAAGTCCCTTTAACGATGTCAGCTCACGTCCCTGCAACGATTTCAGCTCGTCCTCTCAACGATGTCGGCTAACGTCCCTTTAACGATATCAACTCACGTCACATCAACACTGTCAGCTCAAGTCCCTTCAACGATATCAGATCACGTCCCTTCAACGATATCAGCTCACGTCGCTTCAACGATATCAGCTCACGTCCCTTTAACGATATCAGCTCACGTCCCATCAACACTGTCAACTCAAGTCCCTTTGACGATGTCAGCTCACGTCCCTGCAACGATTTCAGCTCGTCCCTTCAACGATGTCAGCTCACGTCCCTTCAACGATATCAACTCACGTCACATCAACACTGTCAGCTCAGTCCCTTCAACACTGTCAGCTCAGTCCCTTCAACACTGTCAGCTCAGTCCCTTCAACACTGTCAGCTCACGTCCCTTCAACACTGTCAGCTCACGTCCCTTCAACACTGTCAGCTCACGTCCCTTCAACACTGTCAGCTCACGTCCCTTCAACACTGTCAGCTCACGTCCCTTCAACACTGTCAGCTCACGACCTACCAACGAGGTCAGCTCACGTCCCTTCAACACTGTCAGCTCAAGTCCCTTTAACGATGTCAGCTCACGTCCCTTCAACGATGTCAGCTCACGTCCCTGCAACGATTTCAGCTCAAGTCCCTTCAACGATGTCAGCTCACGTCCCTGCAACGATTTCAGCTCAAGTCCCTTCAACGATGTCAGCTCACGTCCCTGCAACGATTTCAGCTCAAGTTCCTTCAACGATATCAGCTCACGTCGCTTCAACGATATCAGATCACGTCCCTTCAGAACTGTCAGCTCACGTCCCTTCAACGATGTCAGCACAAGTCCTTTCAACGATGTCAGCTCACGTCCCTTCAACGATGTCAGCTCACGTTCTATCAAGACTGTCAACTCACGTCCCTTTAACACTGTCAGCTCATGTTGCTTCAGTCTTTGTGTCAGTGGGACTCTGGTACGGAAAATGATCACAGCCATTGTGCAAATAGTATTCTTGGTATGGGGTAGGGGTGACAAGTCTCTTCAGCAGCCCGACCGCTATGGAAGCTAGCCCTTGTCCTAGTTCAGAAAAGGTGGAGGTCAATGAACGCTACTTTAATTTCCAGTTGGGCCCCAAACTAAACAGACAACCAACAATTAGTTTCTCCACATCGAGGCACACAATTAAAGCCACAGTATATATTAAACGAACATACATGTATCGATTAGCACTCGTAAAAATAAAATTAGACGGATAATAGAACATCATACAACATAACATTTGAAAGCTAGAGTTACAGTGCCAGGAATCCAACCTATCACCCCCCCCCCCCACACACACACACACACACACACATGACGACAGCGCCTTGCTGCAGAAACAAGTGTACTCAGATGCAATGTATTTTTTATTTCGTCTTTATTTGTCAAAATCTGCGTATGCCGCTAGGTGTCGCAGTTCATTAGACGATCGGCAGCATTGTTAAACTTCCAGTGATGTATGTAGTCATTTCTTCCTTAGATACTAGCATTTACTTTACAGTTACAGCATTTCTTATTGTTATAATTGATCAATGACTGACACGTATTGAATTGCCATCACTATTTTGTGTGGCTCTCAGGTTCATACACCTATAACAACTGTTACCTTACTCTCTGACAGGTGAACAACGCTGGAATCATAGGTTTGGGTGGTATTCAAAAGGCAACCTTAGAACAATATGACAGCATCATGAACACAAATGTCAGGTGAGCCTGCTTGTGTTGCTTTCGCCTCCTTCTTTTCTTCTCCCTCTTTTTCTTTGCAACATTCCTTCTCCTCGACCTCTTCTTTAAGGTCTGGTCCAGTGTTCTTCAACTGGTGGATCACAGGTGTTAAAAGGTTGAGGTCTGGTCCATTGTTTTTCAACCAGTGGATCACAAGTGTTAAAAGGTTGAGATCCGGTCTGGTGTTCTTCAACCAGTGGGTCACAGGTGTAAAAAGATCAGATCTGGTCCAGTGTTTCTCAACCAGGGGGCTGTGGGTGTAAAAATGTTGCAGTCTGACTGAATTTTCTTTAGCTGGTGGGCGGATGGGCTGAAATACAAACATAAAAAAAAAACGTGCTGGTGATGGTGGGGTGGGTGAAAAAAAAAACATGCTGGTGGGGGGGGGGGGGGGGGGAGATTATATGCATAACAAAGTCAATGGTTATGGGGAGGGACCCTAGCATGACCCGCCCGAATTAAGAAAAATCGGCCACAATTTTTAGCATGAGATTACAGGACCACTTTTGTCAACATTTGTTTTCTTAGTCTGATTCTTCTCAGACGCTGAGGTCTCATTCTTATTCCCTTTCTGATATACCCTCACTATGCAACACAAACTATGACATTTTCTTCTCATGAATTTACACCAGTACCTGTATTATTCATGTCCCGCTTGCAGGCAAGTTTATATTGTAGCAGAGGTCGACCTCAACGCCATCTGTCCATCTGTAATTCACAATAGAGAATGTCCTTAGAGACTCTACCATTATTCATCCTCCAGTTGTGACCCAGCCTGAGCCTTTGTAGACTGAGCATTGAGAAACCTTTTGCAGTATCTGCTCTTTCCAGTACCTCAGTGTTTGTGATTTTGTTCTACCACTTAATACCAAGTATTTTTCTTAGGCATCACATGTAATGGCTGTTTAGTCGTTTCTCCTAGTGCAAATAAGTTGACCAAGTTTCACTGCCATAAAGCAGAGTGCTGAGTACTCAAGCTTGATAGACTAGAATTTTTGATTCAGTCGTGATCTTTCTGTTCTTCCAAACTCTTTTTGTTAATCTGCTCAATGATGTAGCTGCCTTACCTATCCTGATGTTGATTTCTTGGTCCAGCAATAGTTTGTTGTTTACTGTGGATTCCAGATATCTAAAATGGTCAGCTGTCTACAGCTCTTCACTATCAATGTAGACTGCAGGTCTGTCATTAACACCTTGCACAATAATCTTCGTTTTTTTGTTGTTGTTGTTGTTGCTGATTGTTAGACCCAATTCACAACATGCATGAGCTAAGGCAGATAGTAAACATTGCAGCTCCTCCTCTGAGTGGGTGGTTATTGCTGCACCTTCGTCAAACAACAGCTCTCTAATAAGCACCTTTCTTATCCTGGTTTTGGCCTTCAGCCTAGGAGCTTTGTAAGGGCTGCTGTCAGACCGAGAATGGAGGAATATACCACACTCCTGATCTCGAAAGGCATAATGTTTTTCAGCTTGTCTGCTTAGTGTTTGTTTCTCAACTTTTCTACTTGTTGTCCATGTTTCACAGCTTGTCTATTTTTTTTAATGTTTCCCAGCTTGTTTGTTTATTGTCTAAGTTACTAGACTTGTTTGTTTATTGTGTCTGTTTCCCAGCTTGTTTGTTTATTGTCTATGTTTTTCAACTTGTATGTTTATTATCTGTTTCACATACATTCTACAGTAAAGTATGTATTTTTGTTGTCCATGTTTCACCTCAGTATCATTGTTCAGGTTCAGCTCCACACTTATTGTATCACTCACTGCAATTGACAGCTTTTTATCAAAGTGCAGGTTTACCATCTTGTAAAAGGCTACTTTTGTAGTGGTGATACTATGTTTCCCAAAGAATTAAGACTGGGTCTTACATTAATTGTTGCTTCAAAAAATGCAGTAGGGCTTATTTTTCAGATACAATAAACTACATTTATTAATGTAAAAATTCTACTTTTTTTTCCATATATAGCCCTGTCATCTCCTTCTGGGTCATCACTATTCTTCAAATCATGAATTCCAGCCTGAATATCTTGCGACTCTATTTGCTGTAGAATCATTGACCCCAGGCTTTCATTAGAGTTGACGATCTTCCTGAGGGATTTTTTCTTTGGTAGGGCTTATATTAAAAGCATACTGATAAATCATGCTAGAGCTTAATGTTGAGATAGATCTTATTTTTTGAAAAACACAATTCTTGTTATAACCTTTAAAAGGCATTTGTCAGTCAGAAGAACAGACCGTTCCAAGATAGTTGTCCCAATTCACTTGTTTCAGAATGTTCTTCATTACTTGGAGTTTACATTATTACAGAGACAAAATGTTGATCCAGCAAATAACTTTCACATTCTGTTATCCTCAGGTCCATGTTTTACATGACCCAGTTGTCTGTGCCTTATCTGGTAGAATCCAAGGGAAATATTGTCAATGTATCTAGCATTAATGGACTTCGCGCTGTGAGTATAACCAGAATGATGTCACAAGTTCCATTTTTTTTTAAAGCGAGAATACTGCAGTTTAATGACTTACACTTTCATATTTAATATTGATAAAAACTGACATAATAGCACTCAGGACATTCCCATAAGTGCTCCATCCTCATCTTCAGCAACAATCACAGAGTTCCAGTTCCAGTAGTACCAGTAACAGTCTGATTGTATGTCCGTCTGTCTTGCCCCTTCAGTGAATGCCGATCATTGACTAGATCCCCTGGTTATCCCTCAGGGCACCATTTTCTTCAGATTGAGATGATCTGCTTGTGCTTCTGCACTGTTAACTGGCTCCCAAAGAGTCCCTACAACATCTAGTTTTTCATGCATCAAATTACCACCGAGTGATACAGAACCATTTAGTCATTTCCTGATACACTGGTATGCCCAGGAGAAAATATCCGATGGGCACTAACTACCCTGGACTTCTGAAGCGATGCTTGCCACTCTAAGCGGAGCATGCCTGTCTCCACCTTTCTCACATGCTCAGTTAGTCTGTTACAATCATGACATGTGAGTGCAGCTAGTTCTCAAGTCAGCGGAAGGCTGCAGTGATCACCTCCACCTGCATTCTCAAACTTATTGTTTTCATATCATATGCCAGGCTTTGTTGCACATGTTATTTATGTCTGAAAAATGATTACATTTTCTTACTTGGTCATCCAAAAAGATGCATCCCTATTATATCTGCACTAAAAGCAAACCCTAAGAGGGATTTTGTATAGAGGAAGGGGAGAGACACAATAAAGGATAATATAAAAATCTACTCTTTGAACCTATCTCTACTCCAAACCTATAAGAGCTCAACAAAATGATGTTGTAGTGAGTAAAAGCCAAAAACACACCTCCAAGCTACTTCATTAACAAGAAAAAAACATGTTTGGCAGGGACAAAGACCTATAGTGTTTTAGCCCTGACATGAAATGTTCTGTTTGAAGTCCCATCAGCAGTAACAGTAACCAGGCACACTAACTAAGTAGCACTTACAGAAACTTTATTTGTCCAATTAACTATTGCAGGCAAGTGTTACACGGACAATCAACATAAGTAAAAAAAATTATGATGTAAATGAGCTATGAAAATACTACCTGAACAATAGACTCAAACCATCCTTTTAGTAAACAGATTTGCAATTGTTGTCTAACATCCAGCTACACACATATAACCATACAGGCAGCACCTAGTTAGACTGCATGTGCGAACTACAGGCACTACTCTGAATCAAAACACACATAGCCTCTGACAAATTTCCTGCTCCCTCGCCTTTTATAGCCCCTGTGATTCTATCTCTGAGCTGGCCATGTTTTAGTTCCTGTTACCAGCTAAATCAAAATTATAACAGCTGCTATGAGCCTGTTACAACTCATTGATAGCATTGTGCAGTGGGTGGTTAATATCTGCTGATATCCTCATGTACACTTTAATGTTCGATTTGTGAACAGATGACCACTAGTCCAGCAGGTAAATGTGCTAACCTCTGTGCCATTAGCAGGTCATATGTGCAGAAGTTAGAGTAAAGACAACTATGGAATGTTGTTATTTGTAATCTTTATGACAAGATGAGGTCTTTAATACTTGAAGGTAATGATAAAGATAATAATCACAATAACTATAATTATCATCACATGTCTTGCTGACTGGCACGAGTTATGCTTCTCTACAACTTACAACTTCAACATCATGTATCAGATGTATCAGAACAGAAGGCTCTCAAGTATTTTATCTTGTCTTCCTCTGTTTTCTTTCAATAAATCTTAATGGTTTAACTTAATAATAATGATAATAATGTTATTTTATGTTGAAGTTTGCAGGTGTGCTCAATTACAGCATTTCTAAACATGCAGTAGATGCATTTACAAGATGTGTGGCATTAGGTAATAACTGTAAACATACTTACACTCTTCTGTATCCTTAGAGTTTTTCATTTTCTTATGGTTTTTCTTGTCCTTCTTTGGGCAATGGAGTCTGTTGACAGCCAAATAACTAGCAACAGTAAGGGAAATATTACCAACCTGTACTTGATCCTAGCTGTGATCCACATAAAGGCTCACATATAGTAGTAGGCTAAGGATATACAGTAGTAGGCTAAGAACATAAAGTAGTGAGCTGAGGAAATACAGTAGTAATAATAGTGTGCTAAGGACATACAGTAGTAGTATGCTAAGGATATACAGTAGTAGTAATAGTATGCTAAGGACACACAGTAGTAGTGTGCTAAGGACATACAATAGTAGTAATAGTATGCTAAGGACATACAGTAGTAGTGTGCTAAGGACATACAATAGTAGTAATAGTATGCTAAGGACACACAGTAGTAGTGTGCTAAGGACGTACAATAGTAGTAATAGTATGCTAAGGACATACAGTAGTAGTGTGCTAAGGACATACAATAGTAGTAATAGTATGCTAAGGACATACAGCAGTAGTGTGCTAAGGACATACAACAGTAGTAATAGTATACTAAGGACACACAGTAGTAGTGTGCTAAGGACATACAATAGTAGTAAAAGTATGCTAAGGACATACAGTAGTAGTGTGCTAAGGACATACAATAGTAGTAATAGTATGCTAAGGACATACAGTAGTAGTGTGCTAAGAACATGCTAAGAACATACAGAAGTAGTAATAGTATGCTGTGGACATTCAGTAATTGTGTGCTAAGGACATACAGTAGTAGTATGCTAAGTACATACAGTAGTAGGCTAAGGACATACAAAAGTAGTAGTATGCTAAGGACATACAGTAGTATGCTAAGGACATACAGTAGTATGCTAAGGACATACAGTAATAGTATGCTAAGTAGTAAGTTAGACATACAGTAGTATGCTTAGGACATACAGTAGTTGGCTGATGACATACAGTAGCATGCTAAGGACATACAGTAGTATACTGAGGATATACAGTAGTTTGCTAAAGACATACAGTAATAAGTTAGACATACAGTAGTATGCTGAGGACATACAGTTGTAGGCTGATGACATACAGTAGCATGCTAAGGACATACAGTAGTATACTGAGGACATACAGTAGTTTGCTAAAGACATACAGTAATAAGTTAGACATACAGTAGTATGCTAAGGACATACAGTAATAAGTTAGACATACAGTAGTATGCTGAGGACATACAGTTGTAGGCTGATGACATACAGTAGTATACTGAGGACATACAGTAGTATACTGAGGACATACAGTAGTATGTTAAGGACACACAGTAGTATACTGAGGACATACAGTAGTATACTGAGGACATACAGTAGTATGCTGAGGACATACAGTTGTAGGCTGATGACATACAGTAGTATACTGAGGACATACAGTAGTATACTGAGGACATACAGTAGCATACTGAGGACATACAGTAGTATGCTAAGGACATACAGTAGTAAGTTAGACATACAGTAGTATGCTGAGGACATACAGTTGTTCTGAGACATACAGTAGTATACTGAGGACATATATACTGAGGACATACAGTTAGTATGCTAAGGTCAGTAGTAAGTTCTACAGTTAGTATGCTGAGGACACCAGGCTGATGACATACAGTAGTATACTGAGGACATACAGTAGTATACTGAGGACATACAGTAGTATGCTAAGGACATACAGTAGTAAGTTAGACATACAGTAGTATGCTGAGGACATACAGTAGTATGCTAGGGACATACAGTAGTATACTGAGGACATACAGTAGTATACTAAGGACATACAGTAGTATACTGGGGACATACAGTAGTATACTGAGGACATACAGTAGTATGCTAAGGACATACAGTAGTAAGTTAGACATACAGTAGTATGCTGAGGACATACAGTTGTAGGCTGATGACATACAGTAGCATGCTAAGAACATACAGTAGTATACTGAGGACATACAGTTGTAGGCTGATGACATACAGTAGTATGCTAAGGACATACAGTAGTATGCTGAGGACATACAGTTGTAGGCTGATGACATACAGTAGCATGCTAAGAACATACAGTAGTATGCTGGGGTCCACAGTAGTTAACAACTGATATCACACCACTTCACATCTTCCACATGTGCTCTATCCTATTCTTCAGCAGCCAATGTTGCTATCATACCATTTAATTATGTCTATTCTGCGCAGGCACCAGTTAATGAAAGTTTGTAGTTTATTAGTAATTGTTTTAGTTATGCAGATTTGAAATGAGAGCTAAATATTTTATATTTGGCTTCCTTGAGTTTCCTAGTCCTATAAAAACTCTCATCTTTTGAATGTTTTTTAATTTTTTAATTTTATTTTTTTTATCAGTTCCCTTATCTTTACATTGCTGCCAAAATGAGTCTTTGACTCTACATCTTGTAGTGAGGTGTTACTAGGAGAAATGGGAACATATTTTTGCCTGGTTTGTCTTGATTATATTTGTCTTTTTAAGGCACTTCTGTTTTCGATTATGATGGGGATGAATGTAAGCTAGGTGTTTTATACCAAGGGACATGACTTCTGTGTGTGTGTGTGTATATATGCAAGTATATACATAATATTTATTATGTCCCTTGTCAGATTGTGTAGGTTTTGATACCAACCCACAGATCTTATTCCTTGATGTTTTATGTACATTCTGTTGATGAAGCTCCTCTAGCCATGTTCTGAGATCACCTAGCATCATTTCTCAGTCTCCATATGTCTTTTCTTCTTCCCCATCTGCTTCTTTTTTCCTTTCCCTGTACTACTATACATAATCTTTAGTACTGGATCGGGAGCAGAGGGGCACTCCAAATAAAAAAAATGTATGTGGACTGAATGGGCCTAAGTCCTGGGGATCAGGTGCCCATAATTATGTCACCTGCTTTCACGAATCTCTGTGATTGGTATTCTCGTTTCGCCTGGTTTATAGGTTTACTTGGATATTATCTCTCCACAATCTTCTATGTCTGCCTTCAGGTCTACTCCCATTCAACTTATTTGTGTAGACAGTTGTTGCTTCTCTGTTATCTGCTATTCTGTCTGTATGCCCACCACCACCAGTGTTGCGGTCTGTTAGCTCTGTGCCTTGTCTACCATAAATGTTTCTAACCATCAACATTTTCTCAAATGTCTGTCTTCTCATTTTATCATCAAAGAATGTGAACCTTCACTAGTTGATTCCAAGCAGTCAGTGATAGCTGTTCTCATGTCCAATATTGTTGCTACAAATTGTTTCAGAAATAACATCTCTGAGACTCTTTAGCTCTTCGTAATTTTTAAAATTTCCATGTGAAGATTTTTTGTCATGCATTAGAAACATTTTTGTGTACTTTTATGTTGTTTTAATTTTTCCTTATATTTTTTTTCTTCAGATTTAGCTGACAAAAGAGTTAGAGTTAACTGTGTAAAGTAAGTGAGTTTTACTGTTGGTTTCTTTGTTTCTTGAACATATTTTTGGTAATGTAAGTGAGTTTTGCTATTTATTTATTTGCTTCCTGAACACATTTTTAGTGACATAACTGAGTTTTACTATAGATTTCTTTGCTTCTTAAACATATTTTTGGTGATGAAAGTAAGTTAGACTGATTTCTTTGATTATTGAACACATTTGTTGTGACATAAGTGAGTTTTACCAGTGATTTCTTTGCTTCTTGAACACATTTTTTTGTGACACAAGTGAGTCTAACTATTGATTGCTTAGCCTCTTGAACACATTTTTGGTTAAATCAGTTTTAAAATTGATTTATTTGCTTCTTGGGCACATTTTTTGTGAGATAAGTGAAATGTCTGATTTCTTTGCTTCAGGATCACATTTTTGGTAAGCATAATAGGTTTATAGTGTCTCCGGAGGCTGGAGACAATACAGTGTTTAAGGCTTCATAATTATAGCTTTGGCACTTTAAACAAGAACGATTTGTTTCTAACACTGGCAGGCTTTTGTTATATTTTGGACAGTGACATAGAATATCTAGCATTCCTGATACACACAGAAAAAGAACAGAAGTTGAATGTTAAATTTTGTGCACATTGAAATCTCTGCCGTATTTGGAAATTGAAAAGAATAGGTGAAAAGACCACTGCTAAATTGTTAGGAATGAAAACCTGGCCACGGATAAATGGAGCCTATAATGTATTCAGTCTAGAGGCCAAAAAACAACAACAATTGACTGAATGTTGAATGTTAAATTAGGAATTGACATCATAGAACTTGATAGCTCGGTAGCAAGGCACTTGATGATGATGATGAAGATGTAAAAAACACAAACCAACTCATCATATTTAATACCTGGCTGTCATCAAGTGCTGTGTAAGGATAGGCTCCTATGTAAGGGTAGGCCTGTGTGTAAGGGTAGGCCTGTGTGTAAGGACAGGTTCCTATGTAAGGGTAGGCCTGTATGTAAGGGTAGGCCTGTGTGTAAGGGTAGTTCTCCCTGATAGAGTAGTCCTAATAAATATTGAAGGTTGAATTAAGAATCGACATCATAGCACTTAGGACACACCCATAAGTGCTCCGTCCCCATCTTCAGCAGCAAATGAAGAGTTCCAATTCTGATGGCACCAGTAACTGTATGATTGTTCATCCGTCTCGCCTTTTCCTTGAGTGTTGAGCATTGGCCAGATTCCCTGGCAACTCCTCGCAGTGCCATTCTCCTCAGACAGTAATGATCTATTTATGCTTCTGCACTGATCACTCACTTCCAGAAGGTCCTAACACCATCTAGCTTTTCATACATCAGTTCACCACCAAGTAGTGCAGAACTGGCCAGTCTTCTGCCTGCTCATTTCCCAACACACCGGCATAACCTGGAAAGAATATCCAAAGGATGCTAACTACCCGGGAGCTCTGAAGTGATGCTTGCCATTCTGCACGGAGCATACCTGTCTCCATCTTTCTTAACATGCTCTGTGAGTTAGTTACAATCATGGCATGTGTGTACAGCTGATTCTCAAGCCTGCAAAAGGCGGTAGTAATTGCCTCCACCTCCATTTTCAAACTGGACGTTGTGATATCACATGCCAGGCTCTGGTGCACTAAGCGACGTCCTTTTGCTTTTGTTATGAACCCACAAACACACCATCTGCCCCTCAACACAGAGCCAGCTGTATAGATAATCACATCACTTGGGCGGGAATGGTCATGAATCATTTGTTGAACTTCTGATTATGCAAGCCAGTCCCTGCACTGATGACCCAAAGTGATAAGAACCCTGTACAAGTCTGAAACTTGCTCTGACACTTTGACCCACTCCTCACCTCGCACACATTTATCAAGCCTGCACACATGTCTGATTGTGTTTTCAGCTTGCGCCATCTGAGAAAAAACCTGATACATATGCATGCCAAAGTCAGAAACATGGTCTGAGATGCATAACTGGGTGTGACATACCTTCTTTGGAAGAGTCATCATTTTCTTCTTCTTGTTTTTCTTCTTCTCCTATTCTTCTGTCATTCTTCTTCTTCTTCTTCTTCTTCTTCTTCTTCTTCTTTTTCTTCTTCTTCTTCTTCTTCTTCTTCTTCTTCTTCTTCTTCTTCTTCTTCTTCTTCTTCTTCTTCTTCTTCTTCTTCTTCTTCTTCTTCTTCTTCCAGAGGATCACAGACCTTAACAAACATAAACCAAGAGTTTTGTATATTTGTTTGGGACTGGTTGCATTTGCGGTTTTCCAAGAGACTCTCATACAGCTCCAATAAAGCTACCACAACTCCAGTAAAACTACCACAACTCCAGTAAAACTACCACAGCTCCAGTAAAACTACCACAGCTCCAGTAAAACTACCACAGCTCCAATGAAACTACCACAGCTCCAGTAAAACTACCACAACTCCAGTAAAACTACCACAGCTCCAATGAAACTACCACAGCTCCAGTAAAACTACCACAGCTCCAATGAAACTACCACAACTCCAGTAAAACTACCACAGCTTCAATGAAACTACCACAGCTCCAGTAAAACTACCACAACTCCAGTAAATCTGACACAGCTTCACTAAAACTACAGCAGCTAAAAAATAAAAAAAAACTACCACAGCTCCAGTAAAGTTGTACTTACTATAGACAAATTCAGTGTTTGATGTAGTGATTAAATTAACCAATTTACAAAGACATGAGAAAATATTTTATAGAAATTTTTCTTAAATGTTGACGCAGTCCAGGTGTCACACATACAGCACTCCACCGCAGGGCAGGTCTCAGCGATAAGGAATACGAAGCGGTAAGACTCGATGAACAATGCTGGTTTGCTGATTTCCAGTGTTAAGATAGTCTTGACATGCCATTCTTGTGTGTAATCATCCTGCCTTTGTCTTTTTTTTATTTCTGAATTGAAAATTTCTCTCTCAGGGCATCTCCCTGCCTGTTTTTTCCTCCAGTGTTCCTGTTATCACAATGTACAATCCTTTTCTCTCCACATTTATAACTTTCCCTCCAGTTTGTCCAGTTGTTACAGTGTACATACTTTTCCCTTCTCAATACATCCCCCAAGAGTATGAATTGCTTTCCCCAGGAGCAGGTAACAAGATGATTCCCACCCTTTTTTTTTTCAAGACATCTTCGTGATAAAAATTATCTCGCCATGGAATGCTCACTATCCTTCTAAGCAAATCTACATCTCTGTAGCTGCGGCATCATTCTCTCTTATCTACTGACATCTCTCTGATCTACTGACTTCTCTCTAATCTACTGAAATCTCTCTGATCTACTGAAATCTCTCTAATCTACTAACTTCTCTTTAATCTATTGACTTCCCTCTAATCTATTGACTTCCCTCTAATCTGCTGACCTCTCTAATCTACTGACTTCTCTCTAATCTACTGACCTCTCTCTAATCTACTGACCTCTCTAATCTACTGACTTCTCTCTAATCTACCAACTTCTCTCTAATCTACTGACCTCTCTCTAATCTGCTGACCTCTCTAATCTAATCTACTGACTTCTCTCTAATCTACTGACTTCTCTCTAATCTACTGACCTCTCTTTAATCTACTGATTTCTCTTTAATCTACTGACTTCTCTCTACTGACTTCTCTCTAATCTATTGACTTCTCTCTAATCTATTGACTTCTCTAATCTACTGACTTCTCTCTAATCTACTGACTTCTCTCTAATCTACTGACTTTTCTCTAATCTACTGACTTCTCTTAAATCTACTGACCTCTCTCTGATCTACTGACCTCTCTCTAATCTACTGACCTCTCTCTAATCTACTGACTTCTCTCTAATCTACTGACTTCTCTCTAATCTTCTTTCTCTCTAATCTACTGACCTCTCTCTAATCTACTGACCTCTCTCTAATCTACTGAATTCTCTCTAATCTAATGACCTCTCTAATCTACTGACTTCTCTCTGATCTACTGACCTTTCTAATCTACTGACTTCTCTCTGATCTACTGACCTTTCTAATCTACTGACCTCTCTAATCTACTGACCTCTCTAATCTACTGACCTTTCTCTAATTTACTGACTTTTCTCTAATATACTGACTTCTCTCTAATCTACTGACCTTTCTCAAATCTACCGACCTTTCTCTAATCTACTGATTTCTCTCTAATCTGCTGTTATTTCTCTAATCTGCTGACCTTTCTGTAATCTACTGACTTATCTCTAATCTACTGACTTATCTCTAATCTACTGACCTCTCTCTAATCTACTATCATTTCTCTTTCCTACTGACTTCTCTCTAATCTACTGACATTTCTCTTTCCTACTGACTTCTCTCTAATCTACTGACATTTCTCTTTCCTACTGACTCCTCTCTAATCTACTGACATTTCTCTTTCCTACTGACCTCTCTCTAATCTACTGACTTTTCTCTTTCCAACTGACTTCTCTCTAATCTGCTGACTTTTCTCTTTCCAACTGACTTCTCTCTAATCTACTGACATTTCTCTTTCTTACTGACTTCTCTCTAATCTACTGACTTTTCTCTTTCCTACTGACCTCTCTCCAATCTACTGACATTTTTCTTTCATACTGACATCTCTCTAATCAACTGACTTTTCTCTTTCCTACTGACTTTTCTCTAATCAACTGACTTTTCTCTTTCCAACTGACTTCTTTCTAATCTACTGACATTTCTCTTTCTTACTGACATCTCTCTAATCAACTGACTTTTCTCTTTCCTACTGACTTCTCTCTAATTTACTGAAATTTCTCTTTCCTATTGACATCTCTCTAATCAACTGACTTTTCTCTTTCCTACTGACTTCTCTCTAATCTACTGACATTTCTCTTTCTTACTGATATCTCTCTAATCTACTGACATTTATCTTTCTTACTGACATCTCTCTAATCTACTGACATTTCTCTTTCTTACTGACATCTCTCTAATTAACTGACTTTTCTCTTTCCTACTGACTTCTAATTTACTGACATTTCTTTTTCCCATTGACATCTCTCTAATCTACTGACATTTCTTTTTCTTACTGATATCTCTCTAAACTACTGACATTTCTCTTTCTTACTGACATCTCTCTAATCTACTGACATTTCTCTTTCTTACTGACATCTCTCTAATTAACTGACTTTTCTCTTTCCTACTGACTTCTAATTTACTGACATTTCTTTTTCCCATTGACATCTCTCTAATCTACTGACATTTCTTTTTCTTACTGACAACTCTCTAATCAACTGTATTTTTTCTTTCCTACTGACTCCTCTCTAATCTACTGACCATTCCTGAATCTCTTCCATACGTTAGAATTTGTTGTATATAATCTTTAAGAATTGGCACATGTTCATTTAACTCGTTAAATCCTAAACATTTGTTACTTGAACAGTAGGACAAGTCTGGCTATGAATAGATTAAAATAAATAGAAGAAAGTGAGTTAAATAAAATATTGCATTGCAAAGGTCAAATGTTGAGGCTGAGTTAGAAATACGAGTTAAGCAAAACCTATTGCATAAAGAGTAAACAATAAGTGTAGGAGATGTTGTTTGGTTCTGAAAGAAATCAGACTAAAGAGAATTTTAACTGTCATTTTGTGTTTGTTGCAGTATCTGAAGCGTGCCAGATACACTCATGCCCTGGGCCGGTATGGAGAACCTGAAGAAGTGGCAGATTGTATTGCTTTCTTGGCCTCCGACCAAGCATCCTTTATCACTGGAGCCAGCATACCAGTTGATGGAGGCAGACATGCCCTCTGTCCCAGCAGTTTGTCGCGAGAGGAAGGGGGTGTCTCAGCAATGTCCCAAAGTGTAGACAGTTAATGGATTGAAAACATTACATGTTTATAACAGATCCATTTAGAATCACTCATTGAGTAGATTTTAGTTGTCAACTTGATCGTTTTTAATAGCAAAAGTTATGGCTGATATCAGGCCCACTACTACCAAAAAAATCTTGATTGGGGAGGGGGGAATTCTAATTTTCTGCAGGGCAGGGCTGAAGTATTGTTAGGTGCACAGTAATAATAATAATTATTATTACTGTTATTATGTGATAAATGCACACACAAAAATGTGTATATATATATTTGAAATATGAAATGTAGAAACAAATACCTTAAAAAAAAAAGAGAATGTCTTTACATGGTCAGAGGGCACCATTGGCCCATTTTCCATGGGTAGGCAATAAGCTCTCAAGGGTTATGGGGGAAAGGAGGAGGTTGGGGAGGGGGTGAGGAGAAAAACTTTTCTTTTTGGGTTAAAAAGAATTAGGACGAGAAGAGAGGGACACCAATAGTCAACACTGATAGTGATATCCTGGTTAGTAATGGACTCTGATGTAAGTATAGACTTTGTTAAGCCATTGACTTGACATCTGTTTGTGAAAGCTCATAGAATTTGTTCAGAACTTTACATGGTCATCTTGTTCTAGATGTGTTATATAATGCTGTTCATCTAGACCTGTACGAGCCACTTTGTCACTGGTCCCCTCTTGTTAGTGTGAACCACTGTGACACTGGTTCCCTATTGTTGGTACGAGCCACTGGTTCCCTATTGTTGGTACGAGCCACTTTGTCACTGGTTCCCTCTTGTTGGTGTGAACCACTGTGACACTGGTTCCATATTGTTGGTACGAGCCACTGGTTCCCTATTGTTGGTACGAGCCACTGTTTCCCTATTGTTGGTACGAGCCACTTTGTCACTGGTTCCCTCTTGTTGGTGTGAACTAATGTGACACTGGTTTCCTATTGTTGGTACGAGCCACTGGTTCTCTATTGTTGGTACGAGCCACTTTGTCACTGGTCCCCTCTTTTTATTGTGAACCACTGTGATACTGGTTCCTTAATGTTGGTACGAGCCACTGGTTCCCTATTGTTAGTGCGAGCCACTTTGTCACTGGTTCCCTATTTTTGGTGTGAATCACTGTGACACTGGTTCCCTATTGTTGGTACGAGCAACTGGTTCCCTATTGTTGGTACGAGCCACTTTGTCACTGGTTCCCTCTTGTTGGTGTGAACCACTGTGACACTGGTTCCCTATTGTTGGTACGAGACACTGGTTCCCTATTGTTGGTACGAGCCACTGGTTCCATATTGTTGGTACGAGCCACTTTGTCACTGGTCCTCTTGTTGGTGTGGACCACTGTGACACTGGTTCCCTATTGTTAGTATGAGCCACTGGTTCCCTATTGTTGGTGCAAACCACTGTGACACTGGTTCCCTCTTGTTGGTACGAGCCACAGGTTCTCTCTTGTTTGCATGCCAAACTGCCAGCACATATTTATGCAGAATTAATAACCTATGTTTTTATGTTTATTTGTATGCCTTGCATCTGTCACTAGGGGATTGAATATTTCGGATTTTATTGTTTTGAGCCACAAGAAAGATAAAAAAAAATTGTATGAAGCCATTGTTTCTGTTGTTATCAGTTTGAGCCACATTACTTAACTTTTTGTTTAGTCCATCTCTTTCTCGACCAGTTCTTTTTTCTAACATCTGAGCTAGTGGGAAGCAAAAAATTGAAAAAAATAAGTAGGGAGACAAGGAAAGAAATGTGGTTAAGAAAAAATGTAGTTCCCTGCTCAACTGCAAAAACAGGAAAAGAGAAGGGTCGTCTGGTGCAGGAACCATGAAATATTACTTATGATTCAGAGGATGAATATGTAAATACTGAATTACACAACATCCACTTCAACATTTACCTACCTAGCCAGACCATGTGCACGAACTACAAGTCACATTCTGAATCAAACAAATTGAGCAACATCATCACATTTAACATCTGTTTACTTTCCTGAGCACAAAACTAGCGTGCTTCATGGGTAACAATACATAAACAGTCAGCACCGTGCTTAAACAGACCATGTGCTAATCACCCTAGCTGATAAAGATGAGAGTTCACCTCCAGCGACCTGCAATCAAAAATCTCTGAGCGAGGATGCACAATAGAAATTGAGCTCTAACACAATATATCTACTGAACGTACCTCCGCAACATGAAACCAGTGAGTCAGGTGATCTCTTGACTCAGTTCCCTGTCCCACAATGAAAAGTTAAAACTATATGTCTCTCATCTCATTCCCGCTGACCCACAAACCAAAGAGAACATTTTTTGCTGTTCGGCCTTTTATCAACTTTTCGACTCCCTACCCACTTCCGGAGAGTCCCGATCCACAGACCTGCCAGTTTTAGTTTACAAGTGTAGCCAAATCAACATTATTAACAGGCTAAATTTATCCCACACCAGTTTGTTACACTTCTTACATCAGTAATCAGTCAATCATGTGCCATCTGCACATTGAGGGTTACTAGCAGTGGAACTCCGACACCCTCTTTTTCTCACCCTTGTTACACCCTCTCCCAGAATGCTGTTGATTCATTTGTTGTTGTTATTCTCCCATATGCATTTTCTCTTACCTCTCTTTGATCAATTTTACTTAGGAATTGAAAGGAACTTTTTTGATCCCAGACAACACGTGATATGTAGTTGTGCTTTCCAATAAATCTGACAACATTAGTGACATATCGTAAAAATCTACCCAAAGTGTTTCAGGATCCTCGCTGGTGCTACAGAGCCTTTGCACTGTGCTGAGCTTCTTTAGACTCGGACTTGAGTTAAAATAAAAATGAAGCACTTATGGGTTACTACCCATGTGCCATGATGTTGATCTGTTGTTCAAACCTATGAATCTTACACAGTTTGTGACATATACTCTAACTTTTTGATCTGAGCATACCAACAGTTTTGGCTTTCTAGCTGGCCACTATACTGAGTTTATTTAAATTCAAAAAGTGGTAAAAACAGGGGTGACGGCAGTCAGGCTAATACCAAAGAATTCATCCTGTGAACTATGACTAAAAAGCTTCACGTAATGGCTGCTTCTCCATTTTTTGGAGCTGGACTTGTGTTGTTTTGTGCATGCTTTTCTTCTTCTTCCCCAATTCGTTAGGCTTTTTAGTCACAGTTCACTAGATTAATTCTGAATCTTGTAAGCAGTGATTACCACGTTATTTATCATATGATCATTTAATCCCTTTGGCGTTACCCATAAACCTTTGGGGATTGAATTTAATTTAAAGTAATGGGCTTTATCCACTTGGCAAGAATTTTGACATTTTCGGCCAGATTGCATAATCGTGGCTATTCAGGACATCGAAGAAATTGAAAACGAAAAACAGCGCAGCATCACTAGTCCATTTAATATTAAGGAAATGGCCTTGGGGAGGTTTAAACATTGGATGATTATATGACACTTAAGATCTAGACACCGAATAACATATGACACGTGCTACACTCAAGTTTCAGACAGGGAACGATAAATGACAAATAATACACTAAAGTTCCAGATATTAGATTATATTATATATGTCAGATATTACATTAAAGTTCTAGCTGGACTTGAATAATATATGGCAGATAATAAACTAAAGTTCAAGACATTGAATGATATATTGCAGATAATACACTAAAGTTCCAGACATTGAATGATATATTGCAGATAATACACTAAAGTTCCAGACATTGAATGATATATGCTAGATAATACACTAACGTTCCAGACATTGAATGATATATTGCAGATAATACACTAAAGTTCCAGACATTGAATGATATATGTCAGATAATACACTAAAGTTCCAGACATTGAATGATATATTGCAGATAATACACTAAAGTTCCAGACATTGAATGATATATGCTAGATAATACACTAAAGTTCCAGACATTGAATGATATATGCTAGATAATACACTAAAGTTCCAGACATTGAATGATATATGCTAGATAATACACTAACGTTCCAGACATTGAATGATATAGGGCAGAATAATACACTAACGTTCCAGACATTGAATGATATATGGCAGAATAATACACTAAAGTTCCAGACATTGAATGATATATGTCAGATATTACACTAAAGTTGTATACATTGAATGATATATGGCAAATAATACAGTAAAGTTCTAGACATTGAATGGTATATGACAGATAATACACTAAAGTCCTAGACATTGAATGATATATGGCAGAATAATACACTAAAGTCCTAGACATTGAATGATATATGGCAGAATAATACACTAAAGTTCTAGACATTGAATGATATATGGCAGAATAATACACTAAAGTTCTAGACATTGAATGATATATGGCAGAATAATACACTAAAGTCCTAGACATTGAATGATATATGTCAGATATTACACTAAAGTTGTATACATTGAATGATATATGGCAGATAATACACTAAAGTTCTAGACATTGAATGATATATGGCAGAATAATACACTAAAGTCCTAGACATTGAATGATATATGTCAGATATTACACTAAAGTTGTATACATTGAATGATATATGTCAGATATTACACTAAAGTTCCAGACATTGAATGATATATGCTAGATAATACACTAACGTTCCAGACATTGAATGATATAGGGCAGAATAATACACTAACGTTCCAGACATTGAATGATATATGGCAGAATAATACACTAAAGTTCTAGACATTGAATGAAATATGGCAGAATAATACACTAAAGTTCTAGACATTGAATGATATATGGCAGAATAATACACTAAAGCTCCAGACATTGAATGATATATGGCAGATAATACACTAAAGTTCTAGACATTGAATGATGTATGGCAGATAATACACTAACGTCCTAGACATTGAATGATATATGACAGATAATACACTAAAGTCCTAGACATTGAATGATATATGACAGATAATACACTAAAGTTCTAGACATTGAATGATATATGGCAGATAATACACTAAAGCTCCAGACATTGAATGATATATGACAGAT